TGTCACTCAGTCATCGTTGGTGTTTTCATCCACAATGAAACAGATGCCCATCAACTCTAGTATCTTCTGCAATGACTATGGTAGTATCAGTTCGTTTGAAAGGACGAATATCAATGGTCAGTTTAGTGTGGATAAGCCAAGTGTAAACGAGAGAGTTATTGTTAAATTGACTTGCACGAATAAAGGCATTTCTAGTTTCAAGTTACTATTTGAAAGTTATTATCTTTGGTGTAAATTACTCTGTTTCTATACTTGGTTGATGAGATATGTCGTGTGTTTGTTGGTCATCTATATTCTAAGATACAATGACATGGGCGTGTTACCGTTCAGATTCGAGGATATAGCTGATAGAAGGAAGTTAGCAAATGAACTCTGCGACGATTTTCCAACCTAGGGCGTCAACCTGAGAAGGGTTGTAGGCGTACTGGTGTAAGTCCTACAGTTCTTCAAAGGGTAGCGCATCAATGATCAGTCCAATGTGCTTGGTGTATGATCTTGAACATATGTTCATGTTGTATATACTGAATTGATATCATCTTTTATCTATCTGTTGGTAATTCTGTTTGTGTCCGGACGACTTCCACTTGTATCATCAACCTGAGAAGGAATGTAGGCGTACTGCTGTAAGTCCTACAGTTCTTCAAAGGTAGTTTGTCGTGTCAGAATCCACAACATTTGATGTGGTCATTGTACATATGTTTGTGTTAAATAGTTGTGTGAGTTCCAATTATTGTAATTGTTGGTTAATCTTGTTTGTGTCCGGACATTCCACAACTTACAATCGTCAACCTGTGAAGGGTTGCAGGCGTACTGGTGTAAGTCCTGCAACTCTTCAAAGGAATTCAATCAAGACATGATCCGCGAGGTTGTTTGTACTGTTTGTATATATGTGTGGTGTATCATATCAATTGGTGTTTTTTGGATTCATTGTGTTTGCTTGTTGTTTTCGTATCTTGTTGTTATTGCGTAATTTTGTTAAAATTTTCGTCGTGATTACTTCTGAAGTTGTTTCTAGTCTTCTACGTCCATGAATGAATTGATTGATGTTAGAGACAGCAGATGGGTCGTATACGCCGGGGAGGCTAGGCTATTGCTGAGAATGAAATGCACACGGAGATAATTGTAAGCTGCGATCCCACACGCCGGGGAGAAAGAGTGTAAACGACTGAGGCTCGCATGCGTCACCGCTACTAGAACTGAGGCAGAATGAGTGACAAGCGATTGCAGTAGTAATTGGTAGTGAGTAGATAAGACGAAGTGCGTAGAGTATCATGAGGTGCTGCTATGGTCACGTTGCATTCTGCAAGAGTCATTCTAGTAAGTGGCGATTGTGTTGCAAGATGTCAAGAGGAGGTCTCTGTCTGGAGGCGCAGGTTGTTATTGATGTGTGAGATTGTGCTGTGGGTATGCTTGTGGTGTGTTGGCTTTTCTGTTTGTTTTCCATTTCAGCTCTGTCCGTGTGACCCAGGTTCTCGCAATGGCATCCAAATCGACGTGCATTGGTCGTGAAGGAAAAAAGGGTTGGATCCCTTTTTTGCCGGAGAGTGTCAATGGAGTTGAAGATTGAACGATCAATTCATGGTTGTTTGCTCAAAATCAACTTCCCCAATTTTCGCGGAGGCATCAATACGACAGTCATCGTCTCATCGGTCGCTGTTCAGAAAGAAGATTGAAACATCGTCAGAAACCTTAGTTTGCTTAGTGATACTTGATTTATATGCTGGTGTAACAATACATAATACTCAAGTCAACAATTGGTGTTCTGGTTTTTTCGTCCGTTGTTACTAAGCGTTTCTCAGAAATCTTCTAAGAACAGCGTGGGCCCGAGCGTAGCGAGAGCTGGGCATTAACGGTTTATGAGACTTTGATGACAGATGTGTAGAACTTTCAGAGTAGTTTATACCATGATATTTTCCCTTCGTATAATATCTTCAAGTAAAATATTAGTTGACATCATATTCTGTGAGAAAGTGGTATCTGAACTGGAGCATGAAGCATTCCACTACAATATATCTGCTTTGTCTCATTCAAGAAATCCACAATATCTGGGTGAATGGCAATTGTGAGGTGTTCAGAAGTGTATTTTGTAGTCCAAGGAGATAATTGAAGATCAATTATCTCATGCATTAGAACACGTTGCCGTGAGTGGCTTTTCTGCGTATTCCCGCTAATTGTATTGTTCATGTCCGCAGCCATGTTGGTTTAGTAACAAGTTACTTCCATCCGCCTTTAAATTAGATTTTACATTAAAAAGCTTTTCTGACGTGCATAATATTGACGACATAATGTACTTAAACTGCGTTAAATTTGCTGCACCTGTATCACGAAATGTTGCTTGGTAGTGATATCTGCGCAATGTCATGGATTAAGTGAGGTAGGATGTTCGAAGTTTAAATGAATATTTTTGAATTTTCATGGAACCCCACTGGTATATACGGTCTAATTATTGAGACGCTATTGTCTAAATTGGTTTGGTTGTTGCTGGTACTCGTAGCTCAATTTCAGCATTAATTTCAGTTTCCGTGTGTCCATAACAGTCGGCTTTTCATTTAAAGACTAAACACATTGGCATCATGATCATAATATGTAGCATTGTTGTGAACTTGTGATTCAGGCGGCCTTTATTTTGAGGGGAGATTCAATTTCTTCAATATTCTGATTTCATAGTAATAACTTAGGCTCATGCGTGAAAGAAACTTCTCATCTTGGCTGAAATAAGGAAAATTTGTTTAGAAGGTAAGGAAGACTATTTTTCATTTTTTCACACTAATATTACGCATTGAGTTGCACTGTGATCCCAGATGGAGCAAAAGACTGTGAATGCCTTACCCCACCTTCTACATAAGAAAGTTAATAACAGGAATTTCTTTCCATGATTCTCCATATTACGTTCAGTAGGGACGACCGGAAGTTTTTCCACTTCAATTTTATGAGTTAATCTGTAAACGGTATAGGCTTTTACAGTAATACATTTGGCATGAGACTTCATACTGAAATCAAAAGCGTACGTGTTTTACCTAATCTCATGCACTTCCTATTCAGATTTGATGTTCGCCAAGTGCTCATTTAACAAGTGCTGGGTATGCAAACAAGCTAAAATTATAAATCGTAATTGCAAGAACTGTTGTCATTTTCATTGGCAACAGTTCACAATCTATGGAGTTCACACGACCACAATCCCCATTTCTCACTTTACTTGGGAAACATTAATTGAGTTTTTTTGAAAAGGCACTACGCTAATTTGAGAATTTCATGAATTTTACAGGTAGCATTGTATTCCCTTTGTAGTGAAACTAAACTATGAGTGGATTTATATTTCCAAGAAGGATGCAACACAAGGCTAATTTTACAACTGTTGCCCTTAATTTAGTTTGACTTCATAATACACAAATTATTAGAATTGTCTGTCATTATTTTTAGGGACTAATCAGGGGACAGTCTCGTCAACTAAGGTCATGCTGGTGACATTGCCCACCTAGGTTGTGGTAAGTGGCAAATGAAACTGGAAGAACTTAAAAGACTACTGCTGTTTGGTCGTAGGTGTATGTGCCCTGTTTGTTCTGTTAACTAGTGAAATACGGTTAGTAATAATGGGGTTAGATGTACAGTGCCAGTCATGCTGATAAACCAGCAAGCAGTTCCAATTTGTGCAAATAATCAAACAATTTCAGAACAGTTTCAAAGTTTACCCGATATAGTATGTTAGAGTTTTTTCAGAATTTGCAAGATTTAATTCAGTATTATAGTAAGCTTAAGCGATTGCAATTAAATTTTATTTTGCGCTATGAATACCTTACTATCTTAGCATAGTATATGTGAATTAACTCAATGATTGCAGGTTTGCCATAATCAACTTAATAGTCGTGAACTTGAGACTAAAAATAGGCTTCATAGTTGCACCCAGTGACAAAAATTAACCTCAACACTTTTAAATATGCATAACGTCGAAAAAACCTGTAAATTTTAATGGCGAACAAATCATAATGACATAACAAGCAGACGCAGGAACCCGTCGTGACCTTGAATCTAGGCATAACGGCTTTAGCCAGCTACCGCAAACTCGAATTACGTAGCCACGCAAATCCCAGGAAGATGGCGCTACTTTAAATAAGGGCTATGCCATTTAATCCCCCTCTGCCGCCCACAATCAAGCCTCTCATCAAGTTTAGTTTAACTTAGAGAATCAGAAGCCTTAGAGGTCATATCTCGTTCGACTAAAACAAGGCGAACTCGAGTTAATATATGCAGTAGGCGGAAGGAAGTTTGTGGTAGCTCAAGTTTCAAACAGGCCACCACATACATACTAAGTATTTTATGTAACCACCAAAATCTCATCCACTTAACTAGTGGGACCTTATACGAACTTCATCCCGTAAAACTCCAACTAAAATGCACAAATAAACAGGAAAGCTACTGAAAAACCTGAGATTATCACGAGGTACTCAAATTTAGTCGCCATCTTTGGAGATTCTATGTCATGTAAGTTATAGTGTTTAATAAAAACTAAGAAAATTCTTTCAGTACTAAACCAGAAGTCCAACCTTAGGGAAAAGTCTTTGAGAAGATAAAATGAAGACTCATGTTCACAGATTCCAACTGGTAAATGTGGAACATGAAATCCTCTTCTGTGTCTGATCTGCCCAATGGTTGTCTATGAAACTGCCTATCTTTCAATGAGATGACTATCAGTAATTTAAAGTATTTATTAGCGAGAAGAAACAGAAATATTCTGTGTTTCACCATTATTTTTTGGTTTAAATTCGGGAGTTCGGATATTCTATCAAACTTCGTTTGTTTTTTGCCGTTAGTGACATTCAATTGCACATTACGATTGAAGGCCGAGTGCGACCTTGTCTCACATTCGAAAGATGACCTTGACTGGGTGTTTGTATAATGTCGAGTCCCCTTGTGTGCATTCTATTTTGACCAATAAACTTATGGAATGTTGTGATGGATGCCTTAAAACTTCTTCAAGTCTTTTTTCTTGTTCATCGTGCAAAATGATGAGGTATTGTAACCGCGCGTGTCAACGTCGCATGTGGAATGCGCATAAACTGGAATGTAAGCAGTACGTTAAGTGTGGGCGCTTACCTATTGCTCACGTTCGTCTCATTCTAAGGATCATAAGTGTTCAGGTTTGTTCCAGTAAATTTCTTTATGTGTTTAGAATGAAATGAAAGACAATATCAATTCCCTTGTCTCACGTACGTGAGTACAGTTATATAAGCATTCGTTTCTCTTGTAGATGAGAATGAAATACTTGCAGATATTAATTTAATGGAAGTGTACCACACTTTTAGGATGACTCTTTTCGAGTTTTCAGAAGGTAAATTACCTCTAAGTGAAGAAGCTATTTTTCAATTATTTTGCAGAGTAAGTTGGAATTACATTTTTAACTGCTGAAGATTAAGATAAATAGTTTCATGATTACCGATGCTAATGGTGCAGATGTTGGGCTCGCACTCTACCTTAGGTTTGCATATTATAGTAATCCTCTTATTTCAGTCAGAGCTGCGCGCTTGGACCATTCTTGTATTCCAGATGTACAGTACATATTTTGTAATCAAAAGATTGTTATGTGCAGGTACTCCACATCTTCACTATCGATAAAGGTAAGTGCTTTCTTTGCACATGTTTGTATAGTTTTGTCCTACGTTAATTGTAATCGTAATTAAAGTGATAATCATTGGTGAGGCTCGAACTACTCATATTTTTTTTATTCCCGTGCATTCCCAGTGGAACATAGGGCTTCAATCTAAAGGTTTGAAGTTTCAGCAGCAGTGGTGTTTGTTTTACTGGATGAGGTGGCAAGCCTCATTTCCAACCTCCCTCTTTACCAGTCTTGTTACTGGCTTGGCTAGGTAAAGGAGTGCGTCGGCCGGGGACCGAACCCCGGACCATATGCTTGGTTGGTGAGCATCCTACCTCTGTGCTCCTGACTCATATATGGTCCCCTAATACACTGTACCTATACGCCAGAGTGATCTTCAATATTTATAAGAGAAAAAACGTTCTAAATTTACTCATTATTAATTTCTTAGTGTTTGTATTATTAACACATTTGCTGTGTATTATTTTCCTCGACACTTATGAAGTAACAACCTGTCAATTGTACATTTATTGGTAGTGTTAAAAAACGGTGGTCGAATATTAGTGCATTGGACCGAAAAACGTACAAATAAATTTAAACAACTAGTCTTAGTTAAAACATGACGCGAATCTACTTATGTGGGGTTTAGATGTAATACTTGGATTAACATTAAGGTGAAGATTAATGCAATTATAATTATCGTTTAAATGTTACTGGGAGGTAGCATTTAGATATACATTTTGGATTGAGGATGGAGTACTTCAGGTCTGTGTTAATCCTTTTTTAACAAGTAGGCATCCTTGCGTGTTGCTTTCTCTAATGATTCGGTCGGAGCAACAGACACCATTTCTTCTGGAATTCGGTTCTAAGACCTAGTGACTCAGTGAGAGAACCACCACTCCAGAACAGCATAGTTCCTCTTTGGCTTTCGAAATCTCCGATATTTTCAGATCCAATGGAAAGGGAAAAAAGAATAAATTAAGTCTATGATTATTTGAAATTGCGAACATTGTAATTAGATCTCCACTCCGCCTGTGGTATGACCGTGAGAAAAGATTAAGACTGTTAAGTTGTCCCTTGTGATAAATAAGTTATACCAGGAATCATAGATATGGCTATTTGAACTCTTTCCAGTGTGTGTGAGCAGCCTTTTGGGCAAGGGCTGGATGTAGTTTTCAATTTCTGACCTCACCGGAGATGTATAAAATGGTAGACATTTTACTGTTGATTCTAGCAGAGGATCTACATATTTCCCTTAAACATCTAAACCCGCAAGCTGAGACTGAGAGATAGTGGACTGTGGTTTTTAAGTCACTATTTACTACGATGCTGAGACCCATGTGTCTTCAATGAAGGGAGTGGTATTCCCTGTATGTCACATGCACTACTTAGACAACCATGGAAGATTCAATGAGCCCATGTGATTCTTCTGCATACAAAATAAACAAGAGGAAGCTTAGTATTATGCCTTGTAGCAGACCATGACAAATTGTCGTCCAGGAAGAAAGTTCTGACCTCTTCCTGACGGTACGTCTTTTATCTGCAAGAGATTTCTTAATCCGGCCGATTCCGAAACTTCTCAGTTTGATGAACAATATTCTGTGAAGCTCTTTGTTGAAAGCTATACCAAAATCTAAAGAGACAACGTCTATGGCTTTCTTGTTATTCCTAGAAATAAACCAGCTGTTTTCGTTATGAACTTTGCCAGGCACTAGGTGTTTCTCCCAAAACCATGCTGTACTTGACAAGTTGTTTCAAAATATGCCATGATGTTTTTCTTGATTTTTCTCTCCACTATCTTGATTAAGGTGATAGTAAAGCTAATAGGTTCAAATTTTAAAGAGTAGTCAGTAGATCCTTCTTTATGGTCATGCGTTACTGCTGCACCCTCCTCCTCGTAGTCACACGGTAACATCTAGTGTGAAGAAGATAGTCGGAGAATAGCAGTTAGTGAGTCTGCTATATGTGCTGACAGCTCCTTGTGAAGCCTTGGGTGAAGACTAACGTGTTTACACCTAAGTAAACCACACATTTGTGCAAAGTTCTATGTCGAAAACAGACAGACAGACAAACCACAAATATCTCTTTTTATAAATGTGAGCAACGCTTTCAACCCTCGGAGGGAGTCCATGAATGTAGGGTTGGGTTACTCGGATGCACAGCTGCTTAAATTGAGTTCAATATGAGCTTTCTGATTTAATCTAGTCCTGTGATGAAGTTCCAGTAATGATAGCATTTATATCGACCTTCCTTATGTGTATTCGCGCTAGATTCTTGGTCTAGGATACTACGGAAGCAGTGACCTTAAAGCTGAGAACTGCGTAATCACTTCTTCCTAGGGAGGGTAAATATTACATGAAATCCACACCCTCGTCGTTGCAGAAGACCAAGACCACGGTTGAGGGGAAGTGCTGAGGACCTTTTGGTTTTGGGTTTCTCGACGTGCTAAAATAGAGCCAGTGAAATATATCTTACCAGCATATTGTTGCAGAAATCGTCTGATAATGCCGTTGTTAGACTTTTCCAGTCGACTGAGGAGGCGTTGAAGTCAGTGGTTATAAGGCGGTGACACTGACATCTATAAGTTTAATTTCTGTATGGGACAGTAGTTTGCCGTACAATCAGGATTACGATAGATTGCTGTCAAATGAATGTATTGTCCTTTGTATTTTAGTCTACAGAGTATAGGTTCACATGATCCACTTCCGTGTGCAAGTGCTTCTATTTTACACGAAGATAGGTTCTTTCAAAGTTGATGATTACTTCGTCGTCTCTGTGGTTTCATTGGTCTTCCCTACTTATGGTAAGATTTAGTAGGTTGGCTTCATTTTCTATGATTTCAGTTGGTGGCCCTTGATTATGTAACTTTAACAATTTCAGGATTTCAGCCAGTGTCACCTAAAGGTTACCTCACCATTTTAAGTTGGCTCAAGGTGAACAGATGGCTGTAATGCTGAAAAAATTATCGAAAATTTTAAACTATTTGAGGGATAACCTGAGGATGTTTGGATTGTGCTTCTCACCTTCGAAATTGTTGTTTCAAGTTTGATCAGTATTAACTTATCGTGTGAATTGGTTTGGCGCTTTAACTGTTGCATATCAACCTGTCACTGCTAAAGATGCATTTAAAAGTCCTGACTGAGGATTAAGTATGCATGCGTCGTGTTGCACCACAGAGAAATGGTAGCTATCATAGGTAAATCTATGGATGCTACATGTATTTGGCTAATATATAACATGAAGTCTGGACAAACTAATTGACTCATTCAGCATGAATCTGTGAAGTATATTTCGCTATTTGTTTGAAATCTGTTTCCTTTTGTGCATCAAACAAATACCCTTATAAGGTTATTGATAAATAACAGTATTATTGTTCTACTTATCAAGTATTCTTTTTTTGGCAATGTCTTTCTCACTTAACAGCCACGTATCAATTATTATGATTGTATGACAACGACTGAAGAAAGACAAACTAATCTAATGAAGAATTATTACTTTAAATGTGATTGCAGTCTGTGTCTTGATACTGATCGCGTGAGTTAACTGATTTGTTTTCTTTGACATATCGTTACTTTGTTACTTTGAATTTTTTTTTTTTGGTTACAGCTTGACTCCACACCGTTAATTGTAATAGACCAAGAGTTAATGGTTGAAATTATCAGCAAGTAGAAAAACTGGTCATGTTAGAAAACATGGTCTAACACAAAATTTAGCTGGTTTTGAACCTATTCAACTCTCTTAGCTGAGTCAAACTGAGTTTACCTTTAAGGCGCTTAGCCCGAAAACGAGTGAAACAGCCGTCCCGTGTTTAGATCACTTCAGCAAGCTCTATTAGTCGATGTGAGTAGTGTCCAACCAATAGTAAATGTTAACCAATCAATTGTACATAGAATCACTCATCTATGCTCACTTTCTTGATTACCAAGTAGATCATATGTATTATGATCTGAATAATTTCGGTTTCTTAAGAGAAACTGAATTGAGAATCACGAATTAGTTTGAGAATTGAGAGTTTAATTCACAAAATATTTTTTCGCATTTTAATAATAAATACCTTCGTCGCAGATCGGAACGAACAAAAATATTACTTGATAGATCTGTAAATAATAATAATGCTGTGATTTTTGGTTCGTTTCGGAAATGCAACAAACAACTTGAGCGAAGATGAAATACCACACACTCTCTGCCCCTTGAGCCCATGAAAAAAACAGAAAACCGACTGGTTTTAGCTGGCGACAAAAATATATTAGATATAGACTGTAGCACAACGACTAGCAGCCGCATAACAGAGAAAAGTAGAACACAAGCTTTGAAAGAACGTGTATTCAGTGCAATTCCTAAAATCAGAATGTACAGGATAAGCCCTTCCAAACAATCAGTCCTTTTGTGTTCATTAATGTCAAGTCTTCACCGTAGTTGTTCGTCTTGCGTCAGAAAATTGATTCCTGGGAAAAGAAAACATGGTTTGGTGCTTTATCTATAAGGGTTTTTATGCTGTTACAACGCATTACAAATACTTCGAAGGTCAAATCGGTTAAATAACTAATCGGATTGGTTGTATAAGGTCAGGCATCTAGTTGTCCAATCACATTATAGCAGGTCTCTTGCCTAAGTCCAAAATCTTAAGCCGATTTTAGTCTGCAAAATATTAGTTATTTTTTTATGAGACAAAATTGTGAGTATATAGCATTGCTCAATTTGAAAAAATTCTAAATTGAAGTTGTATTTCTTTATTCTATGTTATTGGACTTCTGAAGCAGCTTCTGAGAAGTCTTTTCTGCAAACAAAATCAATAGAGCATTTTTATCTCAAGTACATTATGTTGAAAAAAAATTGGTAGAAGCTTTAGAAAGTGAAAATAATTTCCATTCTGAATAACTGTTTTTTACAAGACCCTTTCTCACTTCAATTTTATCGGAAACCTGATTGACTGATGGAGTGTTCAGCGTAGAACTCCGCATAAATGTGCAGCAGTTCAAATAGCCAAACTCGGCTAAGTAAACATCCAAAGGAACCCTTGTGAACAGAAATGTTCAGGAGAAAAAAATAAGTACTTGGAGAGTGGGGAGAATGTAATGCAATATGACAGTTCATAAAGAGTGGATGCGTCTGCACCACAGAGATTCTAGATCATATCACCAACAGTCTGTTCCTAGGGTCTCGAGAACCGCGGTAGCATCATCTACACTTCCTTACATAGCTTAAACCGGAAGTCATTGGCTTTATTGATTGATGCCTGGTTTTGATATAATCACCCTTAGCTCATTCTCAGCCTAATTGTATGTCAGCTTACACTACTTGGAGGAAGGAGGCGACGCTTTGGCATGCATAACACATTTCTTATCCATCTCAATCGGTGTAGCTTTACGACCTTAACGATTCATTTTCTCTCTTTATCTAACCTAATATTGCCTAACTTCAATACTATTGAATATATTATTAACAAAATAAATGGCATTTATATCCGGTTTAAAATAGAAAATGTAGATAGCTTCAGGGTACACAACGAAGACGGTTCCTCAGATACTCAGCTAAAGAATTATGAAAAACTGCAGCTAAAGAATTACGCTGCAGTTTTTCATAATATCTGGTATGCCTTGTTTGAACACTGAGCTTTGTTCACAAATTCTATACATCATTGTGTGAGTTGAGTACTAACCTTTGATTTTATGGGGTTTTTTTATCAGTAGGTTTTCCTGAAGCTTAAATTATTTCTAGTTGTTTCTTCTATTTTTTTCATTTTCAAAATCTGTGTGTTTAGGAGAAAAAAATCACCTCGCTTAAATGTTGTTCACCTGAATGTTTAAGTGAACCAATACCATTCGAAAAACTGCCTTCTTCAGTAAAATTGAAAGATGGAAGTGAAGATAGTGCAGTCAAACCTGCTATTGTGCGTTACTGTCCAGTATGTTTAGAAATCTATGACAATGAAGTAATAAGCCAAGTTGCAGGTTGTTTGTATGGTAAAACTGAAGTTTGTCCTGACATTGATATTGGTAAGCTTCGTTGTTGTTGTTGTTTTTTTGCACAAGACTCAAACGTTTTGTCTTACATAATATATACTACTGACTAATATAAGTAGGTAGAGATCGTTCGCGTCGGTGTCTGACTGACTCGTTGCTTGCTTAAACCTTCTGTAGCTAGTTACTGCTACAACAGAAAGTGATTCAATGAAACTTTCTAGTATATTGAAGGTCACTACTTATGAATTTGATCCAATCTATCTAATTTGATAGTTGTGCTAAATGAACTGTTAAGAAATCACAACACGCGTGATCTGCTTGATACCATAAATGGTAATCAGGAAAGGAAGCATGAGTATATGACGCTTTATACTTCTGATTGATTGATGTGGGCAGTTAAATATCACTCACATCAACCAGTAGTGCTTGCTAGTTAAATTACCGAACTGCCAATGAAGGGCGACTTAGGCCTGTGCAAGAAGTGACTGGCGTGGAATAATGCTCTTGTCCACGCCAAGTAAACTAATAAGTCTCATCATCCTGGAGAGAATAAAGGATGCATTGGATACAGAACTTCGCCACGCCCTCAATAAGCTGGATTTAGGAGATGCAAATTATGCGCTGATCAAATTGCAACTCTACGCGTCGTCATCACAGAACAAACCATAGAATGGCAGTCAAACCTCTACTTAAACTTCATCGACTTTGAGAAGGCCTTCGACAGCGTAGACTGAGAAGTAATTTGGAAACTACTTCAATACTTTGGCGTACCTCAAGTTTTTGTCAACCTCATTCAACAGCTGGCTATTTGACAATACCACGTGTCAAGTTGTCCACAACGGAAAACTCAGCGAGGCTTTCGAAGTACATACAGGAGTAAGACAAGTTGGCTGCCTATTATCACCGATGATATTCTTAATTGTAGTGGACTGGATTATGCGTCAAACTGTTGGGGGCGAGGAATCAGGAATACGCTGAAAGACCGATAAGAAGACACTGAACGATCTGGATTTCGCAGATGATGTATATCTAATATCACACAAACTCGAAGACTTCCAAGCGAAAACCAACAAACTGACTGAAGAGGCAGCGAAAACAGGACTCCAGGTGGACACAGAAAAGACGGAAGTGATGAAAATAACCAATCAACAACAACCAGCAGAAATCACCATCAACGGGAGAGATTTAACAGAGGTTGCCTCCTTCACTTATCTGGGAAGGATCGTTTCAACTACAGGGCGGAACGGACGAAGATGTCAAAGTCAGAATTACAAAGGCAAGATATGCCTTCATCAACCTGCAGTCAGTTTGGAAATCTTCCGCACTCAGCATAAGGAACAAGATTCGGATTTTCAACATCAATGTAAGGTCGGTTCTTCTATACGTATCAGAAACTTGGCATGTCACAAAAAGGATTTCCAACAGTTTGCAGATTTTCATCAACAGCTGTCTTCTCTATCTCCATATTGAAAATCAAATGGCCAAAAAGAATAAGCGACAAGAAACTATGGGAACAAACCAACCAAGAGCTGATCATTCAACAAATATGTAGGAGAAAGTGGAGATGGATCGGGAATATATTGAGGAGGCCACCGAATGATATCGCACGCCAGGCCAGTGCTCGAGTGGAATGCGAATGGCAAGCGAAGAGTGGGTCGTCAGTGAGAGGGTGACATGGAGGATATCGTGTGAGGAAGAGATGAGAGAGTTTGGTCAGTCGTGGACCCACCTGAAGAGGACGGCGGAAAACAGAACAAAGTGGAGGTGTGTTGTTGAAGCCCTATGTTCCACTTGGAACGCAAGGGAATAATAATAATAATATACCTAGTTTCACTGGCTCGCTTGGTTGAGCGTACCAAAGCCATTCCTGCGTTCATGCCAGTTGGGTGGTCTATTCATTAATTCCTTCAACAATGTAACAGTCCTACTGTTTCGTTTCCTTTCTCTAGAAATTGATCCACCAGATTTTCAAAGCCGAACTTCATCCCTCAAAATTATGCCTATGAATTATTATTCATAATCAATCGTTAGGATTTTGAAGGTTTCTAGGCTTTTAGAAGTTTCAAATTTTTTTCGGCCATCAGATGTAGAATTACTTTGTTAAACTATGTGTAAAATTTTGTGAATTAATATGCATACCTCATCATCATATTGCCTTAAAATCGTACGTTTTATTTTACTTCTCGCGTTAGCTTTGGATGCCATAATCATGTATGCTCGATGTTGTCAAATTAATAAATCTCTACAAAATATTCACCTGACATCTATTCAAGACAATGAAGATGTAAAATATCATCATCGATATTATAAATTATTTGGTCATCAAGACAGTTTGTATTTGGCACGATGTTGTTCTCGCGCTCAGTGTATAACTACAATGTCAATGGATTTAATACTGAACAATTTAACTAAGCGTAATCATCACTATCGTAATGAACAACAGCTGGAAATGTCAAAAGATACTTTTGTGAACATTGTAATCGCTTGTAGTCTAACTGAATTCTATTGGAGGTTGAATTGGTTACCGTCAGATTGTTTACGACTTGGTCAATTAATGTATTCCGTCGCTTCTTTTCTATTATGTCATATAGACGATGTAAATGAATTTCACAATTGTAGACGAATGGATGAAATTAAAAGTTTTCTATTATGTAACTATGACGACAACAACAAGGACAATAAGTTTAGTAAAATGAATTGTCTAGGTCATGTGTTGTGTAAATTTTCTAAGATTGCATATGATTTACTCAGTCCATTTGCTGAATATCGTCCAGATTGGCAACAAGGTCTTAGCATACTAGAACATTATAAAGCTCAAGACATATTGACTGATATAGATAGTGATGATGTCATAGATAATCGCTTACAGTTGACATGATTTCAATACTTTTATTGTAGTCATCTTGTTTCTCTATATAAAAATAAATAAGTAAACAAATGAAATTTGTGTACAGACTGTAAATATACAATATTGATATTGTTATTTTGTTTACTCAGCATTATAATACTTTCTGATTAAATTTGTATTTCTGAAGCGTTATTTATCTTTAAAACGTGTTTTTTGGATGGTTACCCGGGTTAAATATATTTAGACACACAGAGAGAGAGAGAGAGAGCTCTTTCATCCTAGTTTGGGACGCTTCAGCATTGAACACCCACAACTCCACCATGAACCAAACCTATGGCTTTCGTGTTACGAATCCAAGCCCGTTGACCATTCAGCTACTTGGGTCGAGATTTCATAGCCGACTAAGTCAATTCGTGATAGAGCACTCTACCACTCCAATCAATGCTCTTAATGAGCATCCACTTCACCTTGACATTGGTGGAGTGCACACTAGTCACGACTTCTCATTAGAACTTAAGGACAGCTTATCCAGTAGCCACCAATGTATTGACAATTGGCATTTAGATTACTTTCAATGTATATATATTTTCAAGAGTTGATTTGTTTTTATCGAGTTTCACCACGGATTGATATCAGTTTGAGAACCGTTGAAAACCAGAAGGGAGTACTATATAGCTAACTGTTTCCTCCTAGTTTGAGACTCATCAGCAATAGGCACCCACTGGGGTTTGAACCCAGGACCTTTTGGGTTACAAGGCAAGCTGGTATACCATTCTGTTATGTACTCGTCGCTAAGTTATTGTTATGGTCTGGTCGAGAAATTAATAGTCCTGACGCGAGAAGGCGGAAATCAGAAGACCACTAGGTTTGCGATGATACTTCTATTGTCCAAACACAAGGGGACGAAAATAAATTGGTCTCACACCAAAGTGGTAAGTAAGTAAAGTAGTTCACACAAATTGTGAATGCGAATATATATAAATGTTCCAGACAAAGCGTGGGAAAAATCATTAGACAGTCTTAACATGAATGGCTAATTATAATGGAGTGTCGATCCAAATATACATAGCGAATATAGCAGACATGTGAACAACCATATATGGATATATGTCACCAAGCAACGGACTGTCAACAAACACTCATATTATATATAATATAAATGGAATATACATTGTTAAAGGAGACAGGTTCATACAAGTGAAGTGGTCACAGACTAACCGAGCAAACAGAAAGAGAGACCAACATGACACACACACATAAATATATATGTGGATACATATCACATTCAACCACTGGGACTCTATTGGATGACCCATGAATTCTAACTTCTACCAATTTGTGACTTTAACGCGACCACATTGGGACATTATATTGTTTTTATCTCTCAACACTAAAACTGTGTGTACAATTCAGAAGATATGATAATAACCACCACCACAACAACAACTTGAATTTCCTTCATTTTCATATTTTAAGTCTATCTAGTGCCCTGTCTGCAATGATTTTCGGGTCAACTACATAGGTTAAAGTAGTAGAACGGAGTCAGTCAGACTAGCGGAGCACAAAACCCCAGCAAATTCTAAATTAGTTGACCTTAATAAGATAAAAAATCTGCAGAATAGTTCAGCTATAGCACTACACGCAGTTACACACAACGATACGATATGATGGGATAAGATGACAGTCTTAAAATCTAATGTAACAGAGTGGAGGGAAATACGTGCAATAGAAATGATTCAATACCTGTCCTGGACATCTGGAAAGTTCTACTATCCCCACGAAGAATAGGAAGGAATAAGGAAAACTATAAGCCGAAAGTTTCGAAGTTATGTAGGGACAAATAACGATATGATTATGAACAAGAATAAATTGTTTTCGAAACGTTATCTAGCAAATACTATTGTTTCACTGTTATATATCTAATAAACAAATTAATATGGAACAAATATTGTTAGATGTTGTCTTTTTTTGCAGCCTCTCTATAATTGCGTTACTGCTGTTGAGGTTGACAGTTAAGCGACGAAATTCTATAGACTATACTTCACACAATATTTACAAGTTCATCTCCAGTTGTAACGATATGTATATATATAGAACCAATAAAATATTCAAATGTTGTCGGAATGAACATTTAGAGGCCAATGGTGTTGACGTTCATGGATAATATGAAGTACACTGACGCAAGATCTTAGACCCACAACTTCCGGATTATTCGTACCTCATAGACGTAAGGCTAAGGAAAACAAAAGAATTGATCGTCCGCAATACGAGCTAAATTACAGCACCGAATATGAGCATGAGATAATTGCTTAAATCACCAGTGATCATGCACGAACAAGAAAATAGGGTGTACCAAATATCGTCCATCCATGAAAAGAAGCCTTTAGAAACACCAGTAAATATAAAAGGCGAGTAACAGAATCCAATGTCCAGTGAACACTGCTATGGACAAAAATATTTCAAAATTAATTCACCTTACGAAACCAAACCTAAGAGGTTATGAAGTGACGTACGCACACCCACTCCACACAACAAAAAAGATCCACAAAAAAGAAATCCGAGTCCACCGAATAGGGTGGACATTGCATTGTGATACAAATCACTTCAAGTCTCTAGATGTGTTGACCTGATGTGAACAGTCGTTCGGTGTCTCCATTACTAACCAGAAAACAACAAACAATCCTAATGGGGAGACCAGCGTTGTTCCCTTATCCGAATACCCGGTGACAGCTGATTCGACTGAATTCACTCTGTGAATCACCTCCAACTCAGTCGAATACACCGACGGACGTGACGAGAACCGCTCTTCTTCACACATCCCAATCACACAAATCTCTGTACAACAGAACAAGTTAGACGAGAGTCGACACAGCTAGATAGATAACCCATCTGTCTGGCGAATGTCACCATCTCCGTGCAAATGATTAGATAAGAATCGTCACTGCAGTCATCGGAAAAAACCACTGTCCATTATCGTGAATACATGTACGCCAAATGACACACACTGACACTAAGACTGGAACACACGGACATGCACACACACACTGAGAATACACAGAGATTGTGAGAGAGGCAGACAGACTATCTGAGTCAGAGGTACACACCCACACACCCATTCTAACAACTTCCTATGCATGCAGACACGCATTCACATAACGTGCCTATCAATGCACATACAGAGTAAAGACAATTGAGACGATGGATCCACAATACACATATCACAATCATCAGATCAACGAAAGTCGAATAATCGACAATATGAGTGAACGAGACGACTGATGGGTGTCTGGTTATGGTGAGTTGCATCAGGTCCTACCATACATACTACAGGTGTGTACACCCAGTCGGATGAATTTGTCATGAAACATGGTAAAGTGAGTTCCTAATGGATGTAGCATTTTACGCGCGTTTCGGCCACACGCCATCCGATCGAAATCGTTCATTGAACGAGGCGTTTTTCGGCGTCATTCTGGTCTAGCAGTCAAAACTGTGTTGTTTAGTGAAGATTGTGAGTGGTGTTGTTGCAATTGATTTTTCGAGATGACTGTAAAAGCCTTGAGCCCGACGTGATTCGAACACGCAGCCTTCTGATCTGGAGTCAGACGCGCTACCGTTGCGCCACGAGCTCACACCGGCGTGTCTCAACGCAATCATCAATACACATTAACTCCTAATCACTGAAACACATCATACACTCCAACCTACAACAAACACACACAATATCCACCACACCAACAACCACACTAATACGCCATTCACTATAGTCGATCTAATACACAAACACGCACACAGTCACACACACACAGAGAGAGGAACACATGCATATCTCACTCAGCCAACAAGTCGCCTGATTCCCCCGACGCCTCAATCTCTCCAGTATAATCGAGCAAAACAACTAATAAACACACACACACAGAGGGGAACACACTATCAACTAAATGACAACACAAATTCACAGTCAGCTGACTCACACACCCACTCAACCACACGACACTTCACCTACAAACAATCCAACCATCCAACATACAAGTCTACAATATCAGACAGAACCGAGCAATCAATTAACCCAGACATTCGCTCAAATTTCCACCAGACAACCAACCAATAAATCGAGCGACATAGCAACTGACCGCCTGTAGGCATACAGTCACTTCATCATGTCCACTGAGTGCATCAGCTATACGCACTGTAATCAACAATTTATAGTCGATTCACCATCATCATACACAAGACACCGCTGTTGAGTACGTAACAATGTGATTGTACACTTTTTGGTTACTTGTATAAATTCGAGATATTGTACATAATTTTTGTTTAAAACGCTTCTTGTTGAAATATACATAACTTCCGTGTACAATTGAAAAATACACTCTGCTGTTGGAGACTTCGTCTTCTCCCTGGTCCCTTCTGCTTACTTGCTCCACTCACACCGTGTTGTATACTTCGGATTTATTGTAGGAGCCTACTACTTTCAACCGAAGACATTTCTACAACCGGAACACAGCAGCTACAGCAGACGCAGTCCAAACAGTTAACGTGCCTGTGGATTATATAATTAATTTGTAGCCGAGGACTTATACTTTATAACCAAGTAATCCTTTTTGTTGCTATAACTCGTCACTGTATTTTTGGTAATATATTGTGATTTAACACTCCACTGACTTGGATTATTACTTTTATATTTGGAATGTTAGTGAACTCTAATATTAGTCCCCTACAAATTAATTGGTGAGCCCGATAAGAACACGGATTATTTTGGCATATTTATATTTTTATTTTTGCTATTTTTATATTCATTGTGATTTTGTGTGTGGTTTATATTTGTATCCTAATTTGCACCAATAACCTCATATTTATAATGTCATCACCTCAGTCCGGTACATCAAACGAGCAGACAACTAATAGCGAGACAAATGCCACAATAAATGCCATCACTGATTTTCGTTTACCCCAATACGGTTTCGCAGAACCAAGGATTTGGTTTGCGGTAATTGAACCGTTGCTAGAAGCACGGGGCATTAAGTCCCAAA